TGAGATACGGTATCGCGCTGCAAGGACCCGGACCCAAGACGGTCAAGTCCAGAGCCCTTAGTTTGTGACACCGCATTCTAGACAGAACGCAATTCGCTTCGCGTCAAAATCTGTCGATCACATAATCACAAATATAAAACACATCACTCCTTACCAACCACAAAGACACACCACCTTGCTGTGCGTACATATATATTTCCGACGTGCCATCTTCAAGATGTTTTAACCAGAAGCGGAAAGCACTATCCCTAAATAAAAAACAGCATTAGAGATAGTATCGTTTTTGCATTTTTCACTTTTTCTTAAATCGGACATGTACGATTTGATGAGTTATACCACATTCCTCGAACTCCAACTAAAGGCTTCAGAATTTCGATGTTAAGTAGCCGACCCAGCGGGATAGTTTTATCTGACTCGCTGCTCACTACTATGATCGTAATGCATATCATTTACATTGCTTCTTCCAACGTGTGTGAGAGTGTTGTGATCTTTGCAACACACCGATGTGTAGCAATCTTTGTGTAATCAATATTACGAGAGCTTCAACCCCAGACATGCTTTCTGAAACATGCCCAAGGGTGGGACACTCCCTTCAAAGGAGGTAGATGTAGCTATATGAGACCGAAGTCCGGACTGTCGAGATATATAATCAAAATAACCAGTGAAAGTTTACTTGTATAGATGTAATAAAGGTGCGATTTGAATGCAGTAACGACAAGTTGTGTCACAATTATCAGAAGCGGTCACATTTTGTAGACAAATAATGAACTATTCGATAGCAACAGCCTCAGGATGACATTTGTGGTTCGGTTACCGCACCAGGGCTCACGAAAAGTCACGAAAGCTCACCCTTTTCATGATTTTCATCAAATATTTTGAAGGTTGTGTGTACCTGTTGAGGCTTCAGCAGAAATGGAGCACGAGGTCATCAACGATCAGGACAAAATCTCAACGGTGCATTCCGGCCATCCAGGCCCACTTCGACCGCTAAGTCTATAGACAATTCGGTAAGTAGCGGTCAGTTGGACAGGCCCGTCTCTGGTTTGTGCGCACTTCCTACGGCATATTGTTGGAGACTGGAGACACCGAACTGAGCAAACGAAATGCTCAGTTATCCATCACATGTTGTGTACGATTTTTCCTATTTTCACCAATTATTTTCGCACGTGCTTTGCGTCCATAGATTTAGATCACTTGGTTATGGTCCGCTAGTGACCTTACAGCGCTGTATCGGAACAAAAGCCGGGGGGGGGGGGGGAACTGCTTAAGTCATCCTTTAACAGGGTGCCCAAACAGAGCTCGCAAGAAATGTTTCAGCATTCTAACACTAAAAACATTCTCTTTCTCCTTTCAAACAACAAACTGGGTCCTTTGGCCACTGTTTGATGAAGTGATGAGAAATTGACACGAAAAAAACCTTGTTCATCTCCCTACCCCAACGACGTCTTCAGTAAAAACGACTGTACATATTAACACGCGCTCGGGTGGGGGGATCAGATTGACCTCCCCCCCGAAGGTTTTTACAGAATGGTTCCCGAACGGCGCGGCGTAGCTGCGCCAAATTTTGCATAGCTGTAGATAATTGAACAGCGGATCGTTGGGCATAACAAATTTAGATGCACCTTGCAAGGTCGTTGACCTATGGCAGGTCAAGGTCGGCCACGGTTTCCGCGAAGGCGATTTCTAGGGAATCGTCCATTCTGATACAATAACGGAGTATTTGACGAAGACGTACATCTCTGAGATGCTTTCTTAGGTAACACAAATATTGAATGAGCAAATAACGTTGACCTAAGGTCAGTTATGAATGTCAAGGTCAAAACCAAAATGATTTATTACTCTAGGGCTTGCTGTATGGGATAGTTTCTGGTGCTCATTTCGAATTTATTGACAGCAGGAGCCGCAATATACACCTTCCATTGACTTCCTAGAGATCAGAACAGGTCATTGACCTAAGATGACCCGGGTCGACATTTTGTTTTAGGAGCATACTGCCTAGGGTAATCTTTGTCGCTTATTCAAATGCAAAACTCAGAGCAGTCTTGTATGATTTTAGTCGCCATGCCCTTCCAAAGGACAAACAAGATTACCGATCTCAAATGGGCTTGTGACCTTTTGCTTAGAAACAGTTGCCTAGGCTCTGGGGGCACTTTGGAGACCAACCTGAAATTTGACCTTGTTTGACCTCATTTGACCTGAAGATCATGACCTAGGAAGCTCAAACTTTGACCTAAGTGAGTTAACGTACAGGTCAAGATACACTGTAAATTTGGTGTCTCTAGCTTTCTTAGTTCCCGAGATCTCAGGGGAGGGGTCAAATTGACTCCCCACCCGAGCGAAGGGTATCTAGCCGTCCACCCGGGCGCATCTTAAATCTTCAGACGCTGACCTGTGAGAGCAAACGAACGTACAAAGCTACTCATGACACCCCGTCTTCTCTTCTATTAAAATTTAGGCGTCACGGCGCCTTCCTGACATACGCGCCAATGCAAGCAGAGCAGTTTGGGTAGCTTCCAGCTGATGACTTGACATGACCTGACCTTTCTTGCGGTTGATCGGGCCGCCTGGCCAGCCGGAGGTGCCGGCTGCCGTCGGTAGAGAGCTCCACCGCCGCTGGTGGGCGCCCTATGGGCCACGAGACCGCTCCGTCCGCCCGGGGCGCGCCGGCTGAACACTCCGGCTGAGCCGCGGAGCCAGCCAGTGCTCGGCCGCAAGAGCCGGCTCGTCCCCTGCAGCCGGGGATGGCCAGCCGGCACCGGACGGGCGCTCGTCCAGCGCTCGTCCGGACGAGTCAGCGCAGTCACTGGACGCCGCCGTCACGCGCAGCAGCGCTCGTTCTGGCGAGACGGCGCGGTCACTGGACGCGGCCGTCACGCGCAGCAGCGCTCATTCTGGCGAGACGGCGCGGTCGCTGGACGCCGCCGCGCGCGCATACACACACAGCACAACGCACGTTTCTCATTTTATTGTGCCGGCGCAATTTACACGTACCTATTTACATTATTCCTCAACGTCAAACTCAATCTGACTAGTAAACACACCAAGATCGGCTGGTCTACTGCAGCTGCGCGGCGGGCGAGCCGCGCCTACCGATTCATTCAGCGTTCTCGTAGTTCGACCCTGTTCACATCTGGAAGGTATCTAGGTGGCGGTATACAGTGAGATTCCGTGCACCACTTAAACCGGGCATTCTGGTGGCGCGAGACCCTGGCAAACAGAGCACGGGCGGTTGTTCCGCTAACAGCCGGCGCTCAGAGAACTGGTGAATGGAGCGTGCCGGGGTGCCGGCGTCGCACGGGTCACCACAGGCAATGGAGTGGACCTGCGCCGCTGGGCGCCGCTAACAAGGCGTAACAGAGCAGTCAGATAGTAATCCGGATCGTAGTCTGCCTTACTGTGACCAGAGACAATGTTGCTGTGGCCAGGGAGCGAGCATTTCAAGACTGAACACTAAGACCAATCAAAATATTATCCAACAAAACTATAGGAGTACAACAGAAGACACAATGCACGGGCGCCAGCATATACGGCGCCTAATAAAACTCCAGGTATAAAGATTAATCAGCAATAACAACCAAACGGAGCATTCTACGCGCACACAGTAGTTGAAACCACAAAACCGTACACCACATAGAACAACGGACAGATGAAATCGTTGAACGTTCCGTGGATTGCGACGATTGACGGGTGTATCTACATGTTGTGGACCGCGGCAAATCGTGGGTAGCTGTTTTCACTTGCTGGTATGGATTACCAAAAATGGCAAGCCATTGACGCGTCGCTTATGTCAAAAGAACGGCTCAGTACATTATTGGCATAAGTACCACTAAAAACATCGGCTCCGAGAAAAAACCTTTACAGTTTTCTACTGTCAATCACAATCGGCTATCAAAGTGAGAATGTAGAGACCAGTGAATCGCCGCAATTTCGAACAATGCGCCGCTCCATGCATTTGTGATTTGAACGGTCGGAACGACACCCACTCTGGTAAACAATGATCTGCGCAGATCTGGAGTGGCAAGCTGTTGCAACAGCTAGAACACATTTAGAAACGGAGAGAAAGACAAATCCATCCCCTAAACATGTGCTACTCACTCAACCGGCCTCGAAATCGATGCATCGTCCGAAGAAAGTCGTTGTCAGCAATGACAGCACAGCTTCGACGCGAGCACGGACGAAATACCCGAGACCATTGCTAGAACAAAACATTTCGCTCCTCCTGCTCCCAGCACCACCCCATCCTGTCCACGCCCTTGACCTCCCGCTAAGACCCGTCGATAAACGACAACGCAACAACGAACACTGTAATACACCGGCACCCACAACTGAAACAGCGTCTACAGCCGCAGCGCCGCCGGGTCGCCGTCCTGCCGCGTTCCGCTCAGCGGAGGTGCCCGCTGTGGACCAGCACGTGCCACTCACCGGCGCTCAGTCAGCTGACGGGCTGGAAAACACGCAGCGCCAGACGCGTCTCGCGACCACCCCCTGAGCGGTGACACTGGCTCCGGCGTCGCCGCAGCCTACCGGCGCGGCGCGGGTCAGTACTTGGGACAGTCCTGGTAGAAGCTCTTGTAAGGCGAACTTGGCCGGAAGCCAAGCTGGCACGACGAGCTCGGCTGGGTGACCTGACACGAGGTCATCGCCCCCGGAATCAGTCGGTGGCTCTCGAACATTTCGCGTACGGACGGGAAGGGCTCGGCGGAGACAGGCGGTGGCGGCGGCGGCGGTGGCGGCGGTGGCGGCGGCTCGGTTGGGTACCAGCCGCCCGGCCGGCCGCCGTACTGCACCATCCCCTGCCCGGACGCCGCCATGCAAGCCATCTCGTCGGCGTACTGCGGCGCGTAGCCCAGCTCCGGCGGGTACAGGCCGCGCGCCGGCGTGTACAGCGACGTCGAGTCCAGCTGCGCCGGCGACGACCGTGACGTCATCAGCGAGTCGACGCTGAAGGCGCTGTTGTTGGAGCAGGGCGCCGGGTCCAGGGTGGTGGGCACCGCCGGCGGCGGCGGCGGCGGTGGCGGCGCCGGCTGCTGGCAGTCCATGTTGGTGTAAACGGGCTCGGCGGCCGGCGCCTCGACGCCCGGCGCCGTCGGGCTGACGGACGGTAGCGCCGGCAGCTCCAGCGGCTCCGTCTTCAGCTTGCAGAGCGCCGGCTCGGCCGGCTTGGGCGAGCGGCAGGGGTCGGCCTTCCCGTCGGGCGCCTCCTCCTTGACCTTGGGCTCGCCGCGGCCGGGCTCCTTCTTGTCGGCGCCGGCGCCGTCGCGGTTCTTCTTGAAGCGCCTCCGCCGGCGCAGGTAGCTGCCGTTGTCGAACATGTTGTAGGAATCGGGATCGAGCGCCCAGTAGCAGCCCTTACCCGGCTTCTTATCGTCGCGTGGCAGCTTCAGGAAGCACTCATTGAGACTGAGGTTGTGTCGAATCGAATTCTGCCAGCCCTGCTTGTTCTCACGGTAGTAGGGGAACTTCTCCATGATGAACTGGTAGATGCCGCTCAGCGTGATCTTCTTCTCTGGCGTGCTCTGGATGGCCATGGTGATGAGAGCGATGTACGAGTACGGCGGCTTCACCATGTCCTTCACTGGCATCTGGTGCGGGCTGTAGGAGGTGGCGTACGGGCTGTACCGCGCCGCCACCGAGTACTGGTCATAGCTGTAGCCACTTGACGTCATCGGCGTCATCGGCGACATTGCCGCCATCGGCTGCAGCGAGTTGGCATAGCTACCTGAGTGTCGGTAGTAGGCGTTCTGGTCGGCGCCGAAGAGGGTGTGCATGCTTCCGGCGGCACACACGGGCACTCGGTGGCCCGTTGGAAACGTCGTGAACACTTATTCGCACCAGAAGAGCCGCTGGGGACCGCTGATCACTAGCACCAAAACACGGCCCATTTATTCAATAAACATTAAAATATTTGTCGATGGCCAGAGAGTTTAGATTGGGTTTCTTCAAGTCGTATTATGGCCAGCCGCACTATAGTTTACAGTGATACCCCTGTGAAAACACCGAGCCTGTTTCTTTTCCGCGCGGCCCGCACAATACTGACGACTGGGCGAAATGAATTGAAAACAAGACCCTGGCTAAACCAACATTCGGAGGCGGCCGCAAGAGGGCCACGTCGGCTGCGCGAGTCGCAGCGCTCCCTGCTGTGACGTCACGCCAGGCGGCGCGACGATTGGTCGCCGGCACGAGGTCGGCGCCGAAGCTCCGCCCCCGGTGCGTCGGCCAATGGCGCTCGTCGGAGGTGTCTCTCTCGAGTGTTGAGCTGCCCGGTACCCTGTGACCGCCCTCCTCAATCGATGGCACTGACGGGGCACGCCGCCGGTCCCGCGGGCTATTATGCGGCTGCAGCTAAAGAGATTACGGGCGGTGACCGGGCGCCGGCGGGCCCAGCTATCCAAACAAGGACGGGCGACCGAGCCCCGCGGCGCACTGGCATATTGTCGGGCGAGGGACCTCCGCCAGGCTGTCGGCCGTTGGCTGCCGTTTTGACCCATCGCGTATCCCATAGCTGATTATCCAGCCTTTGTCGCCGCTGACATTCTTTGTCTAAAGGTATTTAGTATCTGTCAATTGTTCAGTGCATTTGTGAGGACCGTTATTCACATAGATAAGACAGTAATAATAGCATTGTTCCCTGGAGAAAAACCAGCCCACGCATGAGGATCCCATGCGCTCCTCCTCTGGCAATTACATTTTTAGACGAATTTGAAACGAGGGCCCCGGCCGCTAGTCCATTAAAACTAATTTTCTTAGCTAGATGCATCGATGATTGTGCTGGGGTATAGACGCACGGACAGCGTGCGCCTAACCAGTTCTGAGCTGAGTTCATGAGCAACCAGCATCCATATCTAGTTTTTACGATGGAACATACAGAGGGCGAAAACGGGGTTCCATTTTTGGATACGCTAGTGCTGGTGGAAAGGAGGGACAATCGCATACTGTTAGAAAGGGAGCTCTTAAACCCACCAACTCTGGTCTAATTCTGCTCTGCGAATCTGCGCATCAAAATTCCACTAAGCACAACATAATCCGTAACATGTTCCACGGGCTCTAAACAACCCATCAAGTACTGAAAAGGAAAGAAAGGAGGTAAACGAAATATGGATTTTACTGTTGGGCAACGGATATTCTCCGCGACTTTCAAGTACAATATTGAAAGAAGTAAAAATAATCTAGAGCTCGCGGGAGGACGGGTGGTAGGAGCTGGAAACACGTCCGAACGGACGACGGATTCTTAACGCTACCTTACATAGATGAGCATCTGCTTTGGAAAATCAAACACATCGTTAAAAAACAGAGCTGCCCGTACGCATAGCTTGGAAGAACGACAATAAGCTGAAAAAGTCTCTGGTGAAATCTTCCTTCTCGAAGCCTAAGTGTCGGGGGTGGCAATAGATGTCATTTATGCAAACCTGGGTTTCAAAGGTTTTGCACGCCAAAACCACGTGGCTCACGAGACCAAGTGTAAGCTGTGTGAAAAACATGGAAGGGACATAGTTTATGTCTGGGGTCCATGCGCCCCTTTCGTTTGAGATACAATGAACACCTGCGAGACGCTAAAAACAAAACAGAGAATGTCCCTTTCGGCGACAAAATTTTGGCAAAACACGCTCAGGCTGAAATCCGGGGAGGTAGCGACCCTATACCCCTTTCAGAGCTTAAAATCTTTTGCAGAACACAGGACCATCCAGACAGGAAAAAAAATTGAACCTTTTCTAATAAAAAGTCGGCGACCAAATCTTAACGTGACAGGGCCATCATAGCCGGTTATGCGAAGGTGATATGTGCCTTGACGTGTGATGTGGGCTAGCTTGAAATCGTATACATGTGTAAGGGATGCCTGACGCGTGACGTGCGATGCCTGTTCAATTGAAATCACTTGCATGTATAATTGGATGCATGATGTGTGGTGCCTGTTTACTTCAACTCGCTTGCATCGTTTGAATGAAGCGTGAATCGTGATGCCTGTTTACATGCGTTCGTTTGCACGCACATTTTACAACTAAAGAGCTGATAAGAACATCGTGATGCCTGTTTACATGCATTCGTTTGCACGCACATTTTACAACTAAGAGCTGATAAGAATATCGTGATGCCTGTTTACATGCATTCGTTTGCACGCACATTTTACAACTAAAGAGCTGATAAGAATATCGTGATACCTGTTTACACGCATTCGTTTGCACGCACATTTTACAACTAAAGAGCTGATAAGAATATCGTGATACCTGTTTGCTTGAATTCGTTTGCATGTACATTTGTTTTCGCGAATTCGAATTCTTATATGTGCACTGTATCGGGGTAATGACTGGCAGCCGCTCTTTGGTGTCCTGTAAAAGCTGTGGCTTTCTGTTAAAAAACAAAAAAAAAGGCGAGTAGTATCATCGGTAGGCAATTTGAATTCACCTCTGCCATTGTTTCGATAAAGGCATGTTGCCTGAAATATTGACCCATCTACATCTTCTTTCCTCTGATTTTTCTCCGAGGAATAGAGTTGTTACTACTGTCTTGTCTATCCAGTATCTGGTCAAATTTAGATCTTGTATTTTCACGTTAATAACATTTTGCTCTTCTGTGCCTGTTGATTCACATTTCTATCAAGGTGTTTGCAATGCAAGAAAGGGTTGTATCATTCGGGAACGAAAGTGAAATTCTGAACGTCTTTTGAACGTCAGTTTTCCAGCGCACTCGCATCGTATTCCAGCACTGCCACACATTCATAGCCTTCTGGAGCTGTTCGCAAATCGGGAATTAGCATATGATATTCACATGCAATTTTATGTCACTTTCCAGATTTTCCATTACACCAGCTTGAAGAGCGCTCGTTGAAAGTTCTGCCCATCCAGAACCGGCAGCTGTGGCTCGGTACTTCGGCGCACCACACAAGCTGTAACCCTATCACGCGCAGGCTCCCCCAACCAGTCTAGTGTGGGATTGGTTTCGCCACAGGCAGGCACCGGATTACTACATGCGGTGAATATTCCTGAATGCAGACCGCTTAAAGCCCTTACAGGCTTGAGCAGCAGCCTGATGTAAATCGCACATTAGCATAACGACGATGGAACCAAAGTTTTCAGCACAGAACGAACAAAGCGTCCGCAGAGCGCAGTCAACGTCCGACCGCCAGCTTAGCCGTCTCGGCAGCTCAGCACCATCGGCACCTCGCCATCAGCACCACCACCATCACAACCATCGGTTATATTCAAGCACGGTGCTCGCCTGCAGACAAGACACCGACCGACGCATTGGAGCCCACGCCTGTCAGCCGTGTGTTCAGTGTCACCGACGGCACCCGCTGAACTAGAGCGAGAGTTGCCTGCGTAGCAGATACCGGTTAGCGCTATACACGAGAGCTGTGTTTGCAGGTCCGAGTATGCTAAATGGATCGGCGGAATGCGCAGCACTAACCAGCTGAAAAGACACGCTTAACTCAAGGGGTGTTTGAGCACACGGTTGCTTGTGGCAATGTTCCGTGACACAGCTAACTTTGGCGATGCTTTACAACACCGTCAACTGTGGCGATGTATCACGACACGATTAACTAAAGCGATGTTTCACGACACGGTTGACTAAGGCGATGTTTCACGACGCAGTTAACTGTGGCGATGTATCACGACACGGTTAACTAAGGCGATGTTTCACGACACAGTTAACTAAGGCGATGTCTCACAATGCCTCGTAAAGTGAATCAGAACATTGGAACTCGTTATCGCTGTGGTGAACTCCAGAATGAAACCTCACGAGTAATTTAATGTGATGTGTGGCGTTCTGTCTGTGGTTTTCTACAAAAGAGATACACTAAAGCTATCTAGGATTTTTCACGTCAGATGAGTTATGTAATCCACAACCTTCACTTTGCATTTTAGCACATGACCCGTGTGACTAACCTTGCGGTAAATGTGACACAGAATATCGTGCAAGTAGGACAGGCTCTCGCGCATTTGAAGGCCATCGTCATGAGATGGCGAAAATGGGCTCCTCGGTCGTCGAGTTTTGTCTTATTACGCGCAGAGCGTTACAGGACAGGAGCCGGTCAAGGAAAAGTCTGCCGAAGTCGGCCTTGAACCAAAGATTTCCCATGTAAAACACATATTTTCACGCATATGAACTAATTGCGCCGCCGAGGAGGTACTTCCAAGATGCTACAAGGAGTGAAGATGTGTGCTCCACCCCCCCACCCCCCCCCCCCCCCCCCCGTCTTTCGGTAGTCTGCGCGTCTCTCATCGCGATGTTACATCGCAATGACGTCACACATGCTGATGACCTGGAATTCGATGATTATGGCGCTGATCAGTGGTGTTGCTGTTGATCACGATCAACCTCACCTAAGAGAGTTTATCATTTGGTGCACAACGTATGTGCACGGCTGTCCGCTCACCCCGTGACTCAGCTCAAAACGGCTGACCGCTCACCTCGTGTTTCAGCTCAAAACGGCTGACCACTCACCCCGTGTCTCATCTCAAAACGGCTGACCACTCACCCCGTGTCTCAGCTCAAAACGGCTGACCACTCCCCCCGTGCCTCAGCTCAAAACGGCTGACCGCTCACCTCGTGTCTCAGCTCAAAACGGCTGACCGCTCACCTCGTGTCTCAGCTCAAAACGGGCTGACCACTCACCCGTGTCTCAGCTCAAAACGCAGAACGAAGCAAATATGTCATCAACATTGCAGGCTACCGTTCAAACTATGCGATAAGTAAAGCATATAACCAAAAATTTACTTCGAGCCCATGCAGCTTAAAGTCATGAACAACACTGTGAAGCGCTCTGCGCCATCCGCTGCTCACAGACGCCCTGTATCACACACGTAGTAAGGTGCAGCATATGGAGGCGCACACTGGCAACACCCGTTTTGTACGTCAGAGGTCGGTTCGTCTTACCGTCACAACTCTCGCTAACAACGTGCGCTTTGCAGCCCGTTTTGAAGTCGGCATATGACCGAGACGACTCATCATCTTCTGGCCTCGCTATACTCTCATACTATACATCATTGCGGAGACGCTTTAAAGCTGTTTAACCTCATCTCGATCGTGATCTTCCTTTGAT